CAGGACATCTCTGTGTTTACTCTGCTGTCTACAGTCGCCTTTAGCTGGCTCTAAGATTGTTCATGTCAGTCTAGGACATACGCCCGATTCGTTGTTTGTCATTCGAGATTTCACTCGATTGCCTGCTGCATACTGTCACTTAACAGTTCCCTCGGAATATGTCCGATCCGTCTTCATTTTATTCGGCTATAGGTTCTTGCTTGATTTGTTGGCGAGAGTTCCGTGTTATAAATCCTCTTTATACCAAGCCATCTGATCTTTCCCTTTGTGGGGGGGGGGAGTCAGCGTAGGCAGCTGTGGATGGAAATTTTCAGTAGCCTGTTGGAGGTGCTTTTGTTAGTGCCGTGCACACCAAGTTTCTGAACCATACAGAAGCAATGATTGGCTTGACATTGTTGTATCGAAAATGGAAATATTGTTCATTATGCTGATTGCAATAAGTCGATTTCCAGATTGATTTCAGAGTTATGGAAGGTTTTTTATTGCCTTTCTCATCCTGACTAGCTTTGGCATCTTCAACTGTGCCTCTTTCCATAGTGAAAGAGGAGGCTTCTTTCAAATTTCTTCTTCCCTTGATAGTGATTGGTGCTTGATGTCGTTATTGTTGTTTTTGATTTGCATTTTTGGCTGCTAACGATAGAATAATAAAGTGTGAATCTTGTTGGTATCGGATGGTTGGAGGCAGTCAGCCACAGGAAGCCTTGCATGATCTAGGCTTCGTGCTAGTTGGTACTCACCAGTCAGTCAGCAAGGCGTATCTGCAACCTCGAAGGAACTCATGTCCCTTCTGCGATTCGAACTGCCAGGTCACCCAGTGCTGGAGTTAGAGATGTGTAATGGCGACACTGCAAACTTGACTGATAGGAATTCAGTCTGCACCAAAGATAGGACTAGAAACAAACACACACACACGCATTACATTTGTTACTGACTAGTGTCCAGTCAAAAGTGGTGGAAGTCTATACATACATTTCTTGCGATCAGCTTTAGGATATACAGTTTAGTGTGTTCATAACTTTTTCTTTCATTTCTTTACTTTCTGAGTGGAATATAAGGCCTCAAGTTTTGAGCCTTGAAGTTCCAATAGGAATTGTCCTATTTTTACGGGGTGTGGGTGTGTGCGGCTGTTAGCCTCATACTTAGCCTTCTTTCTTTCCCATGCTTACTATTGGCTAGTAAACTGGTGTGAGTTTTCTCCAGGGAATCGAACCCGGACTGTGTGACGCATGGACTGGTGAGCATTCTAACACTGAACCAATCGGAGGGTCCATAAGTAGATTGTAGAAAAATTATATGACTGAAGTCAAAAGATGAACTACAGTACTTCTCTGCTAAGTTCTACATTATTTCTTCAGTTTTTCTCTCTCTCTCTGTCTGTCTGTCAGCCAGCAATTTATGTTGTCATTATCGCTTCTATACTCTGCCTTGAGAAATAGTCTTTCTCTATGTGAGTGATTTATCTAAGCATAGTAAGTAGATTTATTAATCACTTTATTCCATACATTTAACTGTCACTTTACTAGAGTTAGAAATTCAGCAACAAAGCGGTGCTTTGACTAACACTCGTAGATGTCACTTTATATGAGTATTGTCTACGTATTGTCTAGCATATAATATGCTCAGGACTTAATAAATTCATCTCTTTTTGCTGTTGTGGCCGTTGTCTGTCATCTCTTATATTTTGTATGTAGCAGAGAAGAGAAAACGGTGGACATAAGTTTGTGTGAGTATTGTTCAATCGGTAATGACAATCTGTTGTTTTTCAAACAAACAAACAAACAAACAAACAAACAGACAGAAAAAGATAATCTAAATCTGCTGATTTGTTTTATTATTTTAATCATGCAACACTATGTAGTCTATTTATCTATGTGTTGTGTGTTTATCCGGTCGAATTTTTGTCTCATTTTACTCATGTATAGACAGTTATTTTCTTCGAGAAGATTTAATGTCTTAGAATATCAGAGTAATGCCTTGGTTTAAAGATTGGAAATTGTGACAAACAGAGTTTAGCGTGTTGACCACATCGCTTTTGTCTAAGAAATTGCCAAATTATGTTATGTCTCTAGCATAGACTTGATATCCGGCTATCTCTCGAGTGCATCAGTTCACCTTTCTTCCTTTCCTTACGCATACCGTCGGTAAGTGAAGCTTTTGACCGTTAGTTAGTTAGTTAGTTAGTTTGTCTGAACCACATTAATAAGGTGTAGACTGTCTATAGCTACGCTCTTCGAGACTCCGAAAACAATGGTGATTGGAGACTGTTGGTGGTGACATGGTTCATTTACTGTGATTCTTCAGCTCCAACAATGTAGCTTACAAACTACCTATTGAAAAATTAATCTGATGCTTGCTAGTGTCTGACTCTAGGACGAATTTGCCTGCAGTTCTAGTCAGAAGTCGACACCGGGGGGGGGGCGGGTACACCAACTTGGGTGTGACGACAAATACTCGCCGATGACAGTGGCTAGTGGTCACGCTAAAATCGCGAATCGAAAGAATTTGGAATTCATGAGCTGGTCAGTGAATCTGGTCCCAATGACTGAATGGTTTACAAGCTCGCCTTGTAACTGGAAGGTCCTGAGTTCTAACCCTGGTGTTGAGGAATCCCAAACTAGGATGAATCAGTTGTCGATTACTTCCTGCTGGTTTTCAATCGCGGTTCTCTAAGGAACATCAATTCGTGGTCAGACTTAATGTTGTAGTTATTGTCTATCGCCCGCACCTTAATGCGTAGGCCTCTACGAATTGCTGCATATACCAATTTCTACATTGTAGATTCTTTCCACTCCAGTGCATTTAGAGAGAGAGAGAGAGCTATCTCTCGCACTCCTTTATCTCGCACCATTTGTACCGAAACGTCAAACCTCTAGCTTGAAACCCTATGTTTCACTGGGAACGTTAAGGAATAATAAATCTCACTAGTGTGTGTGTGTGTGTGTGTGTGTCTGAACACCTTGAGCAGAAATCCCCCTATGTTTGGCATGCGATTCGCCCCTACAAAATGTAAGATGTTGCTACAGGACTGGACCACGTCAACTCCTAACTTAGTGATAGGGAGTGAAGTGATAGAACATGTTGACCACTTCACCTATTTGGGAAGTTGTATTAGCACCAACGGACTGATTGACGATGAAATCTCAGCACCGATCCGAAAAGCTCGAGCTGCTTTCGCCAACTTACACCATCTCTGACGTAGGCGTGACATCCAGTTATCAACTAAAGGACGTGTGTACTGCTCAGAAGTTCGCTCCGTCCTTGTCTATGGCTCTGAAACATGGCCAATACGAGTTGAAGACATGAAAAAGGTTGACTGCTTTCGATCATAGATGTCTGCGATCTCTGTCTCACGTTAGGTGGTTTAATAAGGTAAGCAATGTTGACGTTAGGCATAGAGTGTTGGGCAAAGAGGGTAAATCAATCGACGAGGCTATAAAGTTACATAGATTGACATGGCTAGGTCACGTGGTGCGCATGCCTAACCATTGCCCCCCCCTCCCCCGACGGGCATTGCTAGCTGATATAGGTGCAGGTTGGAAAAGAGCCAGTGGTGGCCAAACAAAAACATGGCCTCATCAATCCATGAAATCCTTGACAGTTAAACTGAGTCAGGTAGAGTAGGAGATGCAGACTTCCGGGTTGGGGCCCTCGGGACTGACTCTAGGAATCAATGGCTGGAGACAATAGGTGACATGGCTCAAAATCGTTGTCAATGGCCAGCGCAGATGTATTCAGTCTCTGTAATCTTTCATATTCCTTTCTATCATTACCCATTCCGTTTCACTCTTATACTTGTCAAACTCTATTGATTCTCTTCACTCATCTTCTTGTCTACCTTTGTGTGTGTGTGTGTGTGTGTGTGTGTGTGGTATTTGGAACGTGGCAACTCGAACTGATGCACTTCGGTGCCAAGTTCTATGTTGAATCCAGACAGACAGAGACAGTGTGTGTTATATATGTGTATATTAAGGTGTTCAGTACATTTCAGACCTTTGTCTTCCACTAATTTTGTTCTACAATTTCCCCTTAAATTTATTGATATAAGTAAATCATTATGTGGGATAGATAGTAGAAGTGGGTTTTATTTTACCTTTATCCATTGATTATTTCTACTACTACTACCACCACTATGCTTCCTTTGTCTTTTTCCCCTCTTTCTGTGTTGAATGGAAGACGATGCATGTTTCTGTTTTATTTGCCTTTATTATCATTATCATTATTATTATTGTTATTATACCCTACTGACTTGCAATTTCTTTCGATGACTAAGCTGGTTAGTCAGTTAGTCGGTTGGTTGGTTGGTCAGTAGACGAAAAAGTTGGCTAAAGAAGAAGAAGAAGAAGAGAAAACTGTGTGAAAGAGATGTTGTGAAGAACTGGAGAGAGAAAAAGTAAAACCCCAAGAGAAAAATTATTCATGTAATATCAATTTCAACAACTTCAGACATTCTTTGCATATATATTTAGTTTGGTTGACTACAATAATAATGGTAATATTAACAGCAACAACAACAACTGTTACTCCATGTTACATTTATATTGTTTTCTTCAGTCGGCAGTGTGCTAAAATTTGTGTGTGTGTGTGGGTGTGTGCGTGTGTGTGTGTGTAGCAGAGAGAGTAATTAAGTCCTCTGGTAAATATGATATCAGTATCATGTTGTCGTACTGTGCTGTCTTATCAACATATTATCAGTTCCGTCTGTAAATCATCGTTATAATTACTACGATTACTTGTCAACAGGTATCACTTTTGATTATCGTGAGTTTTTTTTGATCGGTTATCTCGTGTGATCATGTCTAATATATATATATATATATATATATATATATCGATTTTATTGTATGCATGTTTTTCAGCTTGTATCTTCTTCGCATTTGTTTTGATATTGTAGCATTTTTTTTCTTGGTTCTATAATACAACTGTTTTTGTAATTAATGTAGATTTTTCATGTTCATCAATATATATATCCACTATGTGTTTGTTGTCCTCTTGTTCCATAGGTACGAATTCTTGATTTAAATGATAACCCACCGAAAATCATTGGTCCTAGTCGTATGATCGGTTGGATTTCAGAGGATGCCCCACCTGGTACTATGATCGTTGGTCATTGTATAGACGATAATTTAGTGACTACTTGTGATCCAGGTTATGTTGGTCCAATTGCTTTGAAAGCGATCGATTTCGATGTGGGTATAAACGCAAAACTTGTCTATAGACTTGTTGGCCCGCAGTCGGGCAGTAATCATCAATTATTTGTTATCGATAATTCAACTGGAGTATTACGTTTATCGGATCATGCATTATTATTGGATCGGGAGATGAAAGCACGCTATGATTTTATGATTGAAGTTAGTGATTCTGGTAAACCGTCGCTTACTGCTGATCATTTGATAAGAATTAGTGTTGAAGTGACAGATGTAAATGATAGTCCACCGATTTTTACAGATCCTTACTACCTACAGTCTACACTACTTCTCCCAACTTATCCAAATGAATTAGTTCTACAAATTAAAGCAGAAGATCCGGATTTGAATGACTCGGTAAGTTTCTTCATTGATTGTTCTTTTGCACCGTTTATTATTTTTGTGTAATCAAATGTAATCCGCCTGAGTACTGTTTCTCTGTCGTGTTCCCGCATTCCTAGTGCAACACTTGATTTGAGGCTTTGAAGTTTCCAGTAGCCGCGGTGGCAACAGTTACGGAATAGATACCAAAGTTAAACTATCCTGAATCGATCAATCCGATTGTTCAGTGTTACAAGTGAATGCTTTTCATAATCTTCGTTGGAAGTTTCCTCCTGATTAAGGGGTTAAGGTAAGGGTAGGACTAAGGTTGGTGTATAATTAAGTTTAGGATGGAATTCGTAACGGAGATAATGAAAAGCAACCATTTATAATACTTACAGCTCTGATTGGTTGATTCAAGGTTATTTCACCGTTGCCGTGGAGCTGTTGTCCTTCTACCTAATGCGGTTGCCAGCCAGCCTTGTTTGTCTGTCTGTTTTCACTATACAACTTTGTACCGATGTGCAACAGTTAGAGTCGCCACACTCCCTCATTGTAGCACACAAAGCTAGAGAAGAAAGTAGAACAAATGCATATTAGAGACAGTAAACAGATATGTGAGACAAAGGAATAGTAATAACGAAGAACAATATAGTTTCATTGGAAATCATAGGCCACAGGGAGTGGATACATCTGCGCACCCATTGAGAACGATCACTTTGAGCCATATCACCAATTGTTTCCAACCTTTGGCTTTTACTGTTCTGAGGACCCCAACCAGTCAGGAAGTCTACACCTTCCTACGTGGCTTAAACTAACTGTTGTGGATTTCATTGACTAGTGAAGCCATGTTTTGGTTTGACCACCACTGGCTCTTTTCCAACCTGATCTTATGTCAGCTAACATTACCCATTGTCGAGGAAGGCGATGGCTATACAGGTGTGCGTAACACATGTCCTAACCATTTCAGTCGATGTAATTTCAAAGCCTCGTCTATTGATTTCCTCTCCTTACCTAGCACTAGACCGAGGGGCTTACCTCAATATTGCTTACCCTATTATTCCACTTCACATGGGAGATAGAACGCAGGTATCTATGATCAGAGACAGCTAACATTACGCCATACCCTGCCTCTTTGTTGGACTTACTACCAGCTAGGCGAATGCATCGAACGCGGAAGTCGATAATGGACCTCCATTGAACTACTACTGATACAATATTTGTTGTTATATCTCCTTCCATTACTTTCATGTTTAAATTCATAAAGCGGGTGTATGCCACTAAATAACAATACCTCTATAACCTGACTGTTTTTTCTCCCTCTCGTCTCAGATGTGCTATTAATTCAACCGCTTCATTTAATCACAAATATGTCTACTATTTGAAATATGAGAGGAAAATATGTTTGCCTCTTGGCAATTTTAGGGTTTTCCTTGGCTTTTCTGCCTAACCCTAACTGCAATTTCATGCCTTGTGGTAATTATTATTATTTTTTTCAAACATTATTCCTGCACCAGATGTTGCATAAAGCAGAAATTGTAAACAAAGTCAACTGCTGATTAATTATTGTATAATTTACTTTACTCCTCGTGAATGTAAAATTCCCTAACTCTTTTCACTTGTTTTAAGTGAATTATGGGAAAGAAGCGTATCCAGCTTCTTTTTTTATGTAAAGGATGTTTCATTTATATTAAATATACATATATGTACCGTACGCATCATCCTGGATAGAATCAAACAAGCCCTGGATGAAAAGCTTCTATCGGAACAGACTGTATTCAGGCGAAACAAGTCATGTATCGATCAAATCACCACACTGCGGATCATCATTGAACAAAGCTTGGAATGGCAGTCACCTCTCTATCTCAACTTCATCGACTTTGAAAAGGCTTTCGATAGTGCAGCGTCGATCGAGAGGTGATTTGGCAACTACTTCGCTACTACTGGGTGCCATCGACAATTATACATCTCATCCAAAGTTATACGACAATGCTGCATGCCAAGTAATCCACAACGAGAAATTCACGGGATCTTACGAAGTGAAAACGGGAGTAAGATAAGCCTGGCTGCCTACTATCGCCAATGATTTTCCTGATTGCAGTAGATTGGATAATGAGACAGACAACGGGCAATGAGGGAACAGGCATAAATGGACTCACACAAAAAACTTGAAGGATGTGGACTTCGCCGATGATTGATATATGTATGATTTCCCACAAAGTGGAAGATATGCAAGTGAAAAGCAACAAGTCGGCAGAACAGGCATCCAGAGAAGATAGGACTTCAGGTGAACATAGAGAAAACAGAGGTGATGAAGATTTTTGGCCAACAGCAACGACAACAGACAACAATCAGCCAGCATAAGTGGGAGGAACCTGAAAGAAACAACCTCTTTTACCTACCTGGGAAACATCGTTTCAACTACAGGCGGAAGTGACGAGGATATCAAAGCAAGGATTGGAAAAGCGAGACAAGCTTTCATTACTCTTAAGTCTGTGTTGAGGTCAACAACACTCAGAATCAAAAATAAGATCCGGATTTTCAACTCCAATGTGAAGTCAGTGCTACTATACGAATGGATCAGAGACTTGGCGCGTCATAAAGAGCATCTCAAACAAACTACAAACCTTCATTAACAGTTGTCTTCGCTCAATACTCAAGATCAGATGGCCGGTCAGAAAAGATCAGCAACAGGGATCTCTGGCGATGAGCGAACTAACCAGAAACCGGTTGTGAAACAAATAGTCAGGAAGAAATGGATGTAGACTGGCCACATTCTGAGGAAACCATCAAATAACATCACTAGAAAAGCCCTCGAGTAGAACCTGAAAAAGAAGCGGCGAGTTGGTCGTCAGTGTGAGGGTGACTTGGAGGAGGTCATGTGAAGAGGAGATGAAAGCATATGGGCAGACTTGGAGCCAGGTGAAAACTCTAGTAGGGAAGCGAACGCAATGGAAACGCATGGCTGAAGCCCCATGTTCTTCTAGGAATTAAAGGAAATAATAATGATAATATATAGCTTAGGATGTCTTTTCCATAACTTCACTGCAGTGATGCTTACTTAACCGAAAAAGCCACACTTTTAAAACTTATCTGAGAATACAGAATAGTGAATAGTATTCTTTCCAATAGTCTGAGAGAAACGGTATACTGGTAAATCCATAAGAAATAATGCATTTTCAAGTTAACTGTCTCCTTCAGACTAAATAAAAGACGGTGTATACGAATTTACATGTATCTGCGGGAGCAGTTACATCGGGAGAATAGAAGAGAAGGACACACCTTCAAATTTATGAACATGTAACAAAAGGTCTGCATACCGAGGGAATAAACTCTTTCAATAGTGCCATTGTCAAACATCTCCTTGACACGGGTCATCAGGTGGAAATTGCAATAACCTTCAAAAATTAATCAATGGGCAACAAAGTACAATTCTCCTCCAGTTTGTTGTGAAGCAATCTCCATCGAACTCCTGAAACCCCATTTATGTGTTCAGAAAGATGCAGTTAATCAGTCTTTCCTAATCCTAGTAACTAGATGTCTTAACTCTTTCTCTCTCTCTCTCTCTTTCATACGATTGCGTAATCTTCGGTTTTAACCTAACCCCCCTCTTGTTTCTATAATTTAAGTCGAACTCAGTACATTGTTACTCAATTTATTAGTTATTCATTATCTTACCTCTCGTCTTTATTACGCAACTTCTTTACCATTTTATGCATACATTGATTTTTGTTTAAACTTGAACTCTCGGGGTAAAAACCGCATCAGTGTAATTTTTGAGCACTGGTCATTAAGTTTTGAAACTTGATGTCAACCGACATCGTGTAAAGTTTGCAAGTAGGTTAAAACTGTTTCTGAACGTAAACTTAATCATTTCTTTAGGCTGTACGCAGCTGATGAAAAGCCAGCGACATAAATGATGGTATGCCATCTTATTCTGGACAAATTGTTATTCTTACTTTATTCAAATTCATAAAGGGGAATAAATATGTAAGGCTAAATAAATTAACAAGTGAGTCCTATTCATTGCCTCCATGTTATGAGTGATGACGTTCTTCACAAAAGTGAAAAAGTGGTTGCAAACATCTGGCGTTTATGACCAGACTGGCGGACGTACATGTGTCTACCTGGGAGAGATGGGGAGTTGGAAAACTCTGGTTCCAGGATGCAAAAGGGTGTAATGGATGTTTCGGTCACTAGAATCCATGGCAATGCTGCACCACTGCCTTATGGATCCATACTTCAAGTTAAAAGCTCCAAGGGGGGAGGTAGCCTCTTCAGACAATCCCCTTGCTTAGGTGTGGGCGTCTAGGCATTATCCCAACCCCCGCATAAACTATCAGATTTTGTTTGGCATGTCTCTTCGTGCCTATAATGTACGAATTTTATGGTTGAATAATAATAATAATCATGACAAACAGTCTGAAATTTAATTTCAAAATTCTTAAACTGTATTTATGAAAAAAAGGTTACCATTCATCACCTCTATTTCCCCGTGTGATTGAAACTTTTATCCTTTTTCCTAATGTATTGATAATTTTATGAAGATGCACATTCTCTTTCTCTTTTTCTATTGAAAAATATAAACAACAACATATAAAAGGTTCATTATTATCTTGTCGGTGGTGATGGTGTTGAACACTTCACTCTGGATGAAAATACTGGCCTTTTACGTGTTGCACCAAATTCGAGTCTTTCAGAGATCATCATCAACACACCTACATCTTTTCTATCAAGAGATCAAACTTTTTTCCTACACATTGAAGCTTGGGATAGTCATAAACCGATTGCGCATATCAGTCGTTCAAATGTCACTATTTATATGCGTAGTGTACATCCTATGCGTGAATCGAAACCGCTTATTCTTGATCCTGTGGATGGTTTACATGTTGAGGTTGAAGAGCATTATGCTGGTTCAGAATTATTAAAACTTGGTCAGTTGTCTATTCGTAATTCTCCTGTTGGTACAATTTACAGGTGAGTTATGTTTGTTTTTGTTTTCTACTTCCGTTATATCATAAATGTTTCAATCGTGGGTGTTTTGAAGTGGCGCCACCTTTATCTCCCAGTGATTATCAGGCAGTTTTAGTAAATAGGACAAAAGAAACCAGCTTGGTTTCATGGGAACTCAATAATATTCATTATAGGATTTCATCATGAGCTAACATCGGTTAGAGAACCATTGGAAAATCAATGAGGGGGTAACAGGACAGCTGTTTCGTCCTAGTTTGGAACTTGTGAAGTAGGAATTCATTCCCTGGCCATTGGATTAGGTCCCAGTGGCTTAATGGTCTACGAGCGCTCGCCCTGTAACCAGAAGGTCGTTGGTTCGAACCTCTTGGTGGGTGCGTACTCATAAAGAGTACCAAATTAGGATGAAATAGCTGTCCAGTTGGTTTTCCAGTGACCGTCTAACCGAAGTCAGCTCATGATGAAATCCTGTAATCAATCAATGGGGATCCCTTACAATCCGATACTTGAATATAAATAATATTCGGTTGACTTTTGAACTTACTACCTCATTTAATCCATTTCAACATTGCACAGATATCATTTTCAGGCAAATATAACGCAATTCAAGGATATAATTCCACAGATAATGCGTACGCGAGAAAAGACGTTTTAATGCAAAAAGGTAACTTTTCATTGAGCCACTATACCAATGGACTATGACGCTACAATTTCGTGGGGAAAGGCAATAAAGCCATTACCCAATCGTTGTTTCCTTATACAGGAAATAGTTAAATTTGTTTTTATGCATTAGTGATACCAATGATATCTAGGTTACCAAATTAAAATCTTAGGTGGTCCCCGTGTGTTGTATGCTATTAAATGTGAATTGTTTATGCTTTTCTTATGATTGTTATCGATGAAATCCGCTTGATTTCGTGATTAGAGATAGTGGCTAGGACCACATCTTATGCCTGCCGAACCAGCCACTGCTTGTCGCGTTGAGCAATATTGGCTGGCATCGGATTAAGTTGTAAAAGAGTTAGGTGTGGTGGTCAAATCATGCTCTTGCTGTCTGGTTCCAGTCCTCGAAATGCTTTCTTGATTACCATTTATGGTGTCAAATAGATCACGTATTATGATTCCGTTTTCCAAAGTAGACTGTTGTGAAATCTCATCTCCTCGAAGTGTGTACATTGCCAATTGCGTGATTTCGAACTAAGAACCAAATGGCTGGCTGTTGGTGATATTGTTCAAGACCGTTCTCAGTGTAACGTAGATGCATCCATTCTTTTTTAATCTATCAAGTCTCTTAAATTTTCGTGTTCCTCTATGTTATTATTCTTTCCACCATAAATGTCAGCTGATTATGTTTCTTTAGAATATCTTGTTTTCCCACTTTTCTCTACTTTTATGTACTATACGGAGTGTAGAAACTCTTCAACTGCTGAATTTCCGACCTAAATTCTACGTTGAAATTCAGTTAGTCAGCTTTACATGCTGATATCTGAATCTTAAATGAGACTTTGATCTCTTCAAAGCTTCACACACACACATACACACGCACGCACTTATGATTACCGATGGGTAATCAAATGAGTTTCGTTAATATACAGTGTTGCATTTTATATTATGTTGACCGCTGCTCCAGCCGCATTCCTTTTTTTCGCTCTGACAGTTGTTAGCAGTAGGTGGGTAGGTAGGTAGGTAGGAAGGTAGGGATGGCCGCGCGAAGTAGGACAGTACTATAATACTTAGACAGACAGTACGTAGTAGTTGTAGTGTAGGTTGCGGTGCCGTTGAACTTTTAGATTAAGAAGTATGCAATCAGACACTTATTCTTGTCACAAACACATACATGCACACACACAGTGACTACTATCGTACCATTGAATTTTCTCCCCGTGAATTTCTGTAGAAACTTTGACATACCAACTGTGGTTTGATGAAACAGAAATAACTTCTACTGTTTTCTTCTAATCTTACTTGATTTACAGTTGTCTTGTGGTGAACGCATATATGTCTAGTAATATATTTTTGCCAATGGTTCTTTCTTTTTCACAAAAATCTCCTCTTGTTTAATCCTTGTTTCTTCCCCTCTACCTTGGCGAAATAATCTTTCTTATCGAATCAGGATATACGTTACTCCTGGCAACCTAATCACTTCTCACTATTATTAAAGCTGTCTCGTTTAATATTTCATGTGATTAATTCTGTTATGTATTATTTGCCGTAGGCAAAGGTTTTCTTCTCTTTCCCCCTTATTATTTATGCTGTCGTCATCATTATCATCATTATTACTATGTGGACATTTTTAAATTCATTTCTCTAACACATGGGGTCTACTGAAAAATACAGTAATAATCTTACCAACATGTGTCGTTTAAAAGTTACACTTATCAAATGTTTGGTTTCCTGCAGGGATTTAATTGGTTACAGGCTTGGTCATAGAGTTGTCTGTCTGTCTGGATTCAACATAGAACTTGTCAACGAAGTGCACCAGTTCGAGTTGCCACGTTCCAAATAGCACACACAAAGGTAAACAAGAAGATGAGTGAAGAGAATCAATAGAGTTTGACAAGTATGAGAGTGAAACAGAATGGGTAATGGTAGAAAGGAGTATGAAAGATTACAGAGACTGAATACATCTGCGCTGGCCATTGGCAACGATTTTGAGCCATGTCACCTATTGTTTCCAGCCATTGATTCTTAGAGTCAGTCCCGATGGCCCCAACCCGGAAGTCTGCACCTATGTCAGCTAGTAATGCCCGTCGGGGGAGGAGATGGTTAGGCAGGCATGCGCACCACGTGACCTAGCCATCTCTATGCCATCTATGTAACTTTATAGCCTCGTCGATTGGTTTTCCCTGTTTGCCCAACACTCTATGCCTAACGTCAGCATTACTTACCTTATTAAACCACCTAACGTGAGAAAGAGATTGTAGATATCTCTGATCGAAAGCTGTCAACCTTTTTCATGTCTTCAACGCGTATTGGCCATGTTTCAGAGCCATAGAGAAGGACGGAGCGAACTTCTGAACAGTACACACGTCCTTTGGTTGATAGTCGGATGTCATAGATTTGACATCAGTTTAAGAACCGCTGGAAAACCAGCAGGGAGTATTGGAGAGTTGTTTGGTGCTGGTTTGGAACTCCTCAGGAGTACTCCACTGCTGGGGTTCGAACCCGAGACCAAGTCAGGTAAAAGGCCAGTTACCCACCTATGGAACTGACGCGCAGTTAGTATATATATGTATATTTCGCGAATTGGTGCAAGTTGGAATTCATAAGCCGGCCATTGGATCGAGTCCCAGTGGCTGAATGGTCTACGAGCTCAATTCTTAATTGGAAGGCCCTGGGTTAGAAACCTGTCGGTGGATGGGGACTGCCGAACAGTCCGAAACACTAGGAGGAAACAGCTGTCCAGTGGTTTCCAATGTTTCTCTAACTGGTGTCAACTCGTTATCAAACCTGAAAAATTTATTTGACTAAAATTTTTAGATACATGCTTAACTAATTAATACTTGTGATTCATGTGACTGAATGTCACAGTGATCCATTATACATATACTGTTTCAATTGGGTATTAGATATATAGTTGATAAATGTTTATTTTTGTTTTGTTAAATCATGTTTCATTTCAGCGTGCGCTTAATTGAATTATTTATAATAATAATAATAGTAATTTCTAGTATAAATAATTTTGTCAATAAACGAACAAAACGTGCACAATAAACCAAGCCAAAAATAAGTGCCAGTGGCTTTTTGTCTCCAAGTTTCGAAATGGTGTTCTGTCACTATGCTCTATGTAATGTGGATGTTTGTGTGTGTGTGTATGTGCGCAGACAAGATTTTATACATGATATCTGGATTGGATATATGGTAACACTCATGCCTTATTATTATTGATTGATTATACAAGTGAACTTTCATTTAATTTTCTGAATATGTTTATAGAAGAGTGTTTGTGTGTGTTGGGAGGTGGCGGGGTGGTTATTCTTTCCTTCCCCAAGTGTCCACATCCCTTGGAAGTTGTTTTCTTCTTGAGGTGCTTCAAAAAGAAAGAGCTGCGTGACCACAAGGGCCAGGGAAACAACTGATAGGGGCTGGTCGGACACACACACACATAGCCTGTTTGAAGTGGTTTTCGGGCTACGGACCCCTGCTAGATAAGTTGGCAAGTACACTTTTCGGGGACATCCTTGTCTAATCCCCTCCTACATCTCCAGAGTGGAGAGGCAGCATATATGGTCAAAAGACGGGAGTTCACCCTACTGCTGTTACATCCCTCTTTGCCGGTGGAAGGATTTCGCTCACAGATCCCCACCATTATGGTGGTAAGTGCTTTCTAGTTTAACCATTGTCATCCACATGACGTTTCTACCATTAGTTCTAGTCATTGTGGTTTGTTGGGTCATTGCATGATTTGCCAGCCCCCCACCATTATGTTAAGGTGTATTAGCTATCTGTAGAGAATTTCCTGAGTAACTATACCTTCAACTATTATTGGTTTGTTGTTTGAATGTTTGTTCTTCTTCTAATTAGTACTGTTTGTTCTGGCACATATATTAATACCAGCACTATTATTGAATAAACTTTATTAAAGATTTATGTGTTTATTGAATTGCGTTTCACAGTAGCGTAAAGTCATTCTTTCCCCCTGTCCCTTTGTCTTTTATCTTTTAGATTTATCACACTCAATCCGCATCCAGGTATTTATGTACACCCACTGACTGGAAGTGTTTTTGCCACGGGTAAGCAAAACACCACTGAATTAGACCGTGAGATGACAACTAACTTCACACTGAATATTCTTGTACGTGATGCACAAAATCGTATTGGTACTGGAGCTGTACATGTAAATCTTATAGATATTAATGATAATCGACCAGAATTCATTGGATTACCATATTATGTGACATTTTGTGTTAGTTCTAGCACTTCTGCCAGCACATCTTCACTCATCAATGAACAATTGAACAAACAAAATATTGACTCAAATCGTACCTGTAAAAGTGCTAATCGTTTTAGAGTAAGTTTCTCATTGTTTACATTTGTGTTCACCTCACCTGACCATCCTTGGTTCTTTTACGTGATATACTGATTTGTTTAGATACATTTTTTAAATAGTTTTTTTCTCGTTCGATCACAGAATAAAGTCAATTAAAGAAGCATTGAAAAATCAAGGAGTACCGGACAACTGTTTCGTTGTAGTCTTGAATTCCTCAGTGGCACTCATCCACTAGGTTTCGAACACAGAACCTTTTGGTTACTAGGTGAGCTCTCAGATCACTGAGCTCCTGGTTCCGAATCCCGATGGGTGGGAACTGATGAAGAGTCGCAAACTAGGACGAAACGCCTGTTCAGTACTCCCCAACTGACATCAGTCTGTGACCAAAGTTGGAACAAGTCAAACCCCTACTAACTAACTAACTAACTCTTAAAAAGATATTTTTACCTCATCTTTATCTTCAAATATTATTTAATTTTTCTATTCCCATGATTTTACAAATACAGGAGTTTTTTTAGCGTGAGAGCTAACAATAAACTGTATCTAAGTGGATAAAATTGCATCTTGTCTCTGTCTTTTCCCCTATACTACACTATATATAAAGTTGTGATATACATTAGTGTTTTAGGAAAGTTCATTCCTTTCCTTGTGTGTGTGTGTGTGTGTGGGTGGGTGGGTTGGTGTCTCTGTTGTTGCTGGTTTGAAGAAAAAACTAGTGGCTACACCCTCACCCCCGCCTTAAGTCAGTAAGTAAACTGACTTTACCAGCCTAATTACATTATCATACATTTCATGTGTATATGCGCGTTTGTTTAAGGCATTATACATATTTGTTATTATTATTATTATTATTACTATTATTAGTGAAACACGAACTTGATATATTTTGGGCACCAGGGGAGATACTCCACATAAAGCTGTAAATTTCCTGCGAGTGCTGGGATACAATCTGGACTTACGGTCTGATTCACATGCCAGTCGAACAGCATCATGAACAACGTTCGGATGGTTTCTGGTGACACCAGACCAGGTTGGTTCTTACAGCATTCGACCCTTTCCGATTCTGGAGCCCATGTATACCATAAGCTGTTTTGGAGTTATGCTATTCCAGCTCTCCTGCGTGGACACCTGTATGCATGTATGTCCAGTAATCCAGTTTTTAGCACCATATAATTCTCTCTTTCACCGCGTGAAGAGGAAGTTCATGGGACTTACTTTCATATCGTAACACTCTTGACTTTTAACTCAGCTGAAAACAATCAGTTTAAACTTTACTTCATCATATTTGTTGGTGTGTTCACCTGTTTGCTGTTTGATTGCTTATCGTTCAATAAACACTCTGTAAAATGTGATCGTTAAAATCTGATGATTAGTCAAGTCATTTCTCCAATATGGTTCAGAGGCATGGCTCATGTGTGTGACCAAAGTCATGCCTAATAGGCTACTGTAGACTTTTATCAGCAACTACCTTCCCTGGCTCCACGCTGAAGATCCCATGGTTAGCCAGTCAGTGGAGATAAGCAACAAGGGAATATAACAACGAACAAACCAAGAAGCTATCACCCCATAAAATATGTAGAAAAAAATGGAGATGGATAAGACACATTCTCCAAGAAGACCGTTGAGTGACACCGCATACAATGCAGTTCCTCTAGTGGGGAGTTGGTTCGAGGGTGACATGGAGGCGATCGTGTAAGGCGGAGATGAATACTCATAAGTAATCTTGGGGTCAGCTAAAAAAGACTGCAGAGAACTTGATGAAATGGAGATGTTCTGTTGAACTCATGTTCTACTCGGAATTTAAGGTGGATAATAATAGGAGTAGTCGTATAACTTTTAAATCTATGGGACGTGCTAATTTGTATTAGCTGCTAGAAGCGCAATTTGTCATCACTATTACATTATTTCGTCATGGAAATATTCAGAATGTGACTAGATTAATAGAAGTAGTAATGTATTCTTTAGCTGTTTAACTAATGTAAATTCATGGTTTCAAGTGAAGCGCCGCAATATTTGAATGATAAGAAATCTTGAAGGCTTGGTTAAACACCCTATCAACAAGTTCCAAGAAGTTTACTATCACATACATACATCTGTCAGTCACTTTTCTTCACTTTTTACCCATCTGTTAATCTTACGTGGCCTTTTAGAGTATGCTTGCATCATTTGGTGATTTCCGCAATCTCTTAAATTTCTTCTTTGATGCGTTAGTCAAATTTTATGTTAACAAATGAAAGATCAGGTTGAATTCATAATCAAAGCGTATGTTTGAAGTAGTTCGATGGATGATAATCAGCAGTGGAATCCAGCTTGTGGCGTATTTCGTCCTGTTTGGGACTCATCATCTGGATGTACTTGCATTCCCCAGTAGGTGGTAGTGCTGCAAATTGAATTAAATTATGACTGATAGCCGTTGCACAAGAGGTGGCTCCTGTGGCGCACAAGGTCTAGTGGATAACGCTTTGGTGTTTGAAACGATGGGTACTGGCTACATTTGAATCTCAGTGAGAACACATCATACTTGACTCATCCAGACGACGAGTGTCGTGTAGGACGAAATGCGCATCCAACTTGATTCCGTTGCTAGTCAATATCCAACAAACTACTTCAAGTTAAATCCTCACACATCGCCGAAGCATCCGCACAAGGAGGCGATATATCAACAGAGTTCGAGCGTTTCGGTCCAATCAATCAACGGGAAAGTTCAAACTGAATTATTAAGCTTATGTTTGTTTGTGACTTTACGATTTTTTTTATTATAGAAGTCACACAGTCAAATATGAAGATGTGTTTAAACGCCGTAATATCCGTGTTTTATTCTCGGTTGAATCTTGATAATTCAAGTGTTGGTTGTCAGGGATTTGAGTTGATCGATTACATGATTTTATCCTGAGCTGACATCAGTAAGGGGTGCGTCTGTGGCACAGCGGTTAGGACGCTCGCCAACCATGCACATGGTCTGGGGTTCGATCCCCGGCCGACGCACTCCTTTACCTCGTTAAGCCAGAAATAATGCTGGCAAAGAGGAAAGGTTGGGCATGGGGCTAGCAACCCCATCCTTTAAAAGTAAACACTGCTACGGAAACTCCAAGCCACAAGCTTGAAGCCCTATGTACCACTGGGAACGTGAAGGAAAAAAAATGACATCAGGTAAGACAACCATTGGAAAACTAGTAAGGAGTACTGGATAGCTCTTCATTATTGGTCCCAAACTAGGACGAAACGCCTCTCCAGTACTCTCCACTGGTATTCCAATGGTTCTCTAACCGATATCAGCTCATTATGAAATCTTGTAATGTATCTTGATAAGGTGAAAACTTCCTACATATTTGTGAAGCTCTTAAAGATAGATTTGCATAGAATAGCCGCGTAATCTTTTAACTTTTTGTCCAGTTTCAATGCTTCTCTTTCTCTTCTCTCACTCAATATGATACACTGTGAATACAAATCAAGTTGCTTTTTAAAAAAAAATAACGGAATAAACACCACTTGAATGAATGACGCCAAAAATGGGCATGTATAAATATCATTCATTTTCTGTTTTATCAATTAATCATCAGGCATTATATATTCAATGATTCATTTCTAAGGTTTCTTGTATTCTAAGAATTTCCTGCTCCATGTATACTTCATGCAGCATATTTTTTCTTTTATCAAGGTATATAGGTCAGTGAATGAAATACTTAGAGACAAAGTGAGAGGGAAGAGGGGGTGGGAAACAGTACACAAAATCTGTCACCCACCCACTCATTTCTTGTGATGACTTTCTAGTTATGTTTATTCCAAAGTGGGAAAAATGTATTTATGATGATTTATATTTTATTTAGCGTATATCAATTAGATTGATGACGATTTATCAAGTTTGCAAGGGTTTGAACTGATTCACCTCTCTGAGCTGAGTCAACCACCCCCGTCCACCACCGAGGGTATACAGCTGATGAACTTGGCGTACCAAACGAGCAAAACAGCTGTCCCGTGGTGTTTATATCACTTCGATCTCTGGCCTAATGGCTAGCTAGTAAACCAAAATCAAACGCTCAGTGATTGGTTTAGGAGTAAAAACCGTTTATATATATAAATTGCAGTTTGATCAGCTGAAAATATACCTTGGCTTTCGTGTCTTGTCTTCTGCTGTTGCATTCGGTGTCTCTGCTTACCGACAAATGAACAGCTTGTGCCCCGCAGTTTTTGAAAAGGGAAACATTGGTCTTCTTGCAGGACTTTGAGGCTGCTGCAGAGTTGAATGGCGTTCAATATCCGTCAACAAAGAGGCTGTTACTTGAGACGCCGCTGAAAGGTCAGGCGAAGACAGCATATGACAGTGTGAAGAGAAACACCGGAGAATATGCGCCAGGGCTATGCAAACTGCTTCCAAAGTGGGAAGGATTATACATGGTCACCGTGAGATGGGGTCACGTATACACGATCAGAAATGCAAACAAAGAGAAGTGGGTGAACGTCAGTGAGCTCCGGAAATAGATACAGCAAGACAAACAAATAAAGACGCCAGCACGAAGAAGATGGGACCAACTTCAGTTGAAAGTATTTGACGGGGGCACAATTGTGGTGGTGTGATACAGACAATGTGTTCCAACGGAATATTATTCTCCTATATTCCAATATATATATATATATATATATATATATATATATATATATATATATATATATATATATATATATATACCTTGCCTTCTACTGTTACACTACTACTTATTCCAGTCAATCAGTAGTATGTTGGTTTTTATGACGACGATTTAAACTTGATATAGTTCAAGATGTTAATGAATTGCAGGGGGCTTAGCTGCACTCTGGGACTAATCTGAGCGTACATATATATGTATCCTTGATTTAGTGTCACCGATTACAGTGGATAAACATTTTATACATCGATAACATCAATATATGAAATTCCGTATTAGTAGTAGTAGTTTTCATACCGTAGGACGCCTTTTGAATCATTTACTTGAATGGGTAATTACGCTTAATTAATCTTCATATGATTGAGGAAATAGACTCATATGTGTGGTATAATCAGAGGTACGCTTGCCAGCTAAGTGGGAGGTCTTCGTTCAATTTTTTTTTCATGTCAACGTGCTCCTAACTCCTCGCCTAGTTTACTAGTTGATGACAGGATGTCCAGAAAATAGTGGGGGTGGGGGGTCGGTAGAGAGTTGAGCGTGAGGTTATCAACCCCACACCATGATCAGGTCTTATGTTCTACTTGGGACACAAAGGAATAAAAAGGAAATACTTGTAAGTGTGTGTGTGTGTGTGTGTGTGTGTGTGTGGAGTCATCTCTCTTTCAAACTCACATATTCATTTAAACGGAAATTCAGGGAGCTTTAGTTCAAATATATGGTTTTTATTTTTCTTTATTTGTCAGGAGAAGTACCCTACATCATTGTGAAAAGCTTTGGCGATTCTCAGAGTAATGTACTCATGGATATGTGTCTATTAGGATGTCGTTGTAATGCCCCTTAACGAGTTTGTGGGCTTAAAACTTGGAAAGCCACCGTCATAATATTTCATACTGTTGTTATTGTTACTATCATCTCATTTTGGGAAAAAATTATCCTAATATCACTGTGTTATTGCAATATTTTCTTTTTTTCAGGTTACTGCCACCGATAAAGATGATGGTATAAATGGAACTGTTGTTTATAGTCTGACAAGTATTCGACCACGGGCTGAACCACCATTACTATCGATCAATTCTACATCTGGAGATGTCTATCTCCTGAGAAGTCTTCCTTCCGATTGGACTGGTCGACAAATTGAAGCTGTTGTTGCAGCTATCGATGGTGGTGGTTTATCGTCTACAGCTACTGTGCATATCCATCTAGTTGCTGAAAATGGTCCACAGTTTTCAGCCAATCTTTACTCTGCATCAGTACTAGAATCTGCACCGATTGGTGAAGCAGTCACATCAGTTGAAGCTATTGGCATAGATATTGGTGCAAGTTTGATATATCGTATTGTAAATGTTAAGTTGATGAAGGCTACGCCGTCTACACTAATGATGCTGACTGATGTACTTGATGATCTGAAAGAACAAGATTCAATCGCTTTAGAGGATTGTCCTTTTACACTGGAATTTAATACGGGTATGTTGTATTGGTTGTTGTTTGCTTTGATTCTGTGATTTGATGATTTATGGGGGGGGGGTCCTAGTTGAGGGCTTTTTGAAGTCAGTGTTATGTTATTATTATTATTACTTCCCTTTGGTTCTGTGTGGAACATATGGCTTTAATTAATAACACATTACGATTCTATCCTGTTCTTTACCGGGGTTTTTAGCTGGCTCAACGATTTTTATGTTTTAATGACTGATAGCATGTTTTTGATCGACAAGCATTTGGAATTTCGGAACATATCTGTCAGTGGATTCACTTGTTCGCAAGTATTCACAACTTTTTTGGAATTTTTTTTCCAGAAACTGAGTTCGCATACTTTTCTCACATTCTAATGCATAATTTATTTTAAAAAAAACCCAGTAATAACTGAATATTATTGTTCGTCAGAGGTTCAGCGGTAGAATGGTCGCCAACCAAGCCTCATGTGGTCTGGGGTTTGACTCCTGCCTGAAGGACGCACTGCTAGACTTTTCTTAGCCAGGTGGTGGTAAGCCCGGTAAATAGGGGGAAGTTTGGGCTTGAGACCGGCAACCTGACCCTCGTAAAAGCAACTTCACTCTTACTAAAACCTAATAATAATAATAGTAAAAGTAATAGTTTATTCACTCTATTCCAAACAATTGTAATTGTACACAGTGGAATTTTCATCGTTTTGTACATATTGCAACAATTTAGCTAATTTTATAAATATGTAAATACGTAAAACAGTAGAAATAATAAAACCACAAAAACTGAAAGTTACTGGAACATAATGGATTATAAATAAATTATACCATGGAGTTCAGTGACTGATTTAAAAAGTTTAGAAGCTCTTTACCGACATGTGACTCTCTCTCACTCTTCACACAAAACCTGTGCTGAAAATAGAGTTTTCGGCTGAATTTTTATATTTTACTGTATGAGCATAAATTCTTATTGAATTCTTTTCCGATTTCACCTGAAGAGATACAAGGATAAAGTGGCGAATAATAAAGAGGATGTTCTATATTAGAAAAAGTATATATTTATATTATTACTATTGTTCCCTTGGGTTCCTGGTGGAACATAGGGCTTCAACTGCATGTCTCCACTTGCTTCTGTCTTCCTTTTGCTGTACTTTTCACCTGCATCCATCCATGTTAGTCCATACTGTTTCAACCAATTCCTCTTCACACGATCTCCTCCATGTCACCCTTGCACTGACGTCCCACTCGCTGCTTCCTTTTCGGCCTGGTTCCACTCGAGCACTGGCCTGACGCGCGCGCGATGTCGCCCAGCGGCCTCCTCAGCAAGTGTCCAATCCATCTCCATCACTTTCTTCTGCATATTTGCTGGGTGATTGGTTCTTGTTTTGTTTGTTTGTTCCCATAGTTTCTTGTTGATGATTCTTTCCGGCCCGGCTATCTGATCTTCAGTATAGAGCGAAGACAGTTGTTAATAAAGGTCTGCAGCCTTTTGGAAATATTCTTTGTGACCCGCCCGCCAAGTGTCTGATCCGTATAGAAGAACTGACTGACTTGACGTTTGTATTGAAAATCTAAGCATATTAGACAAGGTAACTTTATTTAATTGCTTGCAATGGTATTAAAATGCCTATCAACAACAAATTAGTCAGTTAGTTGAGTCAAAGGTACACTGTTAACCCCTCTGCTCACAGCCTTTAATCTTCTACTTAATATGATATAGTCTTGAGAAGTCCTTCTTCAGAAGTTCAGGGAAAGCTAAGAGGGGGACAATAAAGAAGACTAGGGAGAATACATGAGTTATTTAACTGTAAGAAAAAAAAGGTTGAGTTATACCACAAACAGCTCAACTTCCTTAGAAATCAACAAGATATAAGGCAACCCAGCAGACTTTCACAGCTCAAGATTTGAAGGCTAATGAAAATCACTCGGAACTCAGAGGAATAGACTATGAAAGAAAATAAAGTGAAAATACTGTTGAACTCGTCAATGAGGTGCGTTTTTTTTGTTTGTTCCATGGAAAGGTGGTTGTAGATACTTATTTTTACGTTTGCATTGAGACTACCTAAATTCGTACTATGCTTCACACACACACACACACACATCCCATCCAACTTTGTCATTTACTCCATCCTAGAAGGCAGAAAACCTTGCCTTCTTTTAAAAGTTTTCTTAATTACTGAACAAATTATTATTTCTTTACCAATTTACGATACAGTGCGGCCACCAGCCAGTGTTGTTGTCGAGTATTTGTCCTCACACCTGACCTGTTGTACCACACCGATGGTCATGACTTTCCACTAGAACCCAGGTAACTGCCTATCCGAATAGCGACAGTCACTAGTGTGCACCAGATTAATATTCAAGTGTTGGTTTGTAAGGATTCGATTTGATTGGCTACAAGATTTCATCATGATCTGACATCGGTTACAGAAGATTTGGAAAACTAGCGGGGAGTACTAGACAGGTGTTTCGTCCTAGTTTGAACCTGTTCAGCAGGCCAGGTGCCAGGAAAAATACTCGCTGATGACATTCGCTAGTGGTCGTGGCTATATTGTTAATTGGAGGAAGTTGGAATTCAGGGGCTGGCCATTGGATCGGGTCCCAGTGGCTCAATGGTCTACGAGCTCGTCTTGTAACCGTATGGTTCTGGATTCAAGCCCTGATGGTGGGTAGGTACTTCTGAAGAGTCCGAAACATCTGTCCAGTACTCCCAAGTTGTCGAATGCTCCTCTAACCGATTTCAGCTCATGATGAAATTCTGTAACAAATCAACTGAAATCTATGCAAACCAACCCTTGAATTGTTATTATTATTATTATGCAAGTAAAGATCCATTTATTCATAATGATGAAAGATGTAGGGTTGATAATGTTTATCATTATTACTATAAAAATTGCCAACGGGATATCAGTTGGTGGGAAGTAAATTATTATTATCATCATCATCAGAAGTGATTGCAATCTTTCTTCACCCACTTTCTACTACACTTCTCGCTTAACATTTCGTGTGTCTGTTTGTGTATGTGTATGTGTGGGGGGTGTTCTATAGTTTATAGTGCCCATACTGACTGACTGACTGCTTCAGACCCTTTTTTCTTTTCTTCTTCTTATTATTATAGTGATCCACGTGCTAATCTGAAGTTTCCTCTCTTAAAAGGATAAATGAAAAAGCATAAGTATTTTTTTGTCTCAATTTAAGAAGTGTTCTGTTTGTTTTTTCACTTTTCGTAGTGGCTGTAGTGTAGTAGTGATAGTAGTAGTAGTCAAAAGATTTAAACAGACACAAATACTTGTGCTGTGCGCAGAGAAATAGGAGTAACGCGATAACATATTAGTGCGCATGCCTTCTAGGCTGTATTTCTCCCCCCCATCCACCCTTCACTCCTTGAACATAATTAATTGAATTGCACAAATTATGTACTGTTGTGCCTGTGTGCTTCTGGTTCTTCTTCTTCTTCTTAGTAGACATATTTAGTCGGTTCGTCTCGGCAGTCAATTTTTAGATCTGATTGTTACTCACTTTTCTGATACAACCACCTGTGTTTCTGCTTGGAATCTTTCTATTCTCTTTCTCTGTTTTGTTGAGAATCTTTGTGCTGCTGTAATCCAGCACATAATTCTCTGTCTGTCTATAGGTCTGTGTATGTATGTATGTATTGAAAGGAATATAATAATAACAACCTACGGCTAGCTACACGAACACTCACTCAATCAGTGCGTCTATATCATCATCATCATCTTTTTCTTTCGCGATTTTCGATTCTTATTCTCTTTTTTCTGCATCCTTTGTCTTTTTTCCCTTTCTTTCTGTCTCTCAGGTGTTTCTTCTCTTTGTGTTGTTGTTCTGGGTTGTTGTTGCTTTTTTCATGATAAACCTTCTTTCTTCTTGTTAAACACGCATATTGCTATGCATCAACCATATACAGCCATAAATGTACAATAGAGAGAGAGAGAGATGCATTCATCATCATGGGATAGTGAAGCCGGAAAATAGGCGTACGTGTAAAATATACACATATATGAATAAAACTGCGCGCTATTTGGCTCTTCAAATAATTATTACTTCAAACAAACAAACAAGAAGAAAAATAGACGGAGATTAAATCAAGCTAACAAGCAAGCAAGCATAATTAATTAATTAATTATCACCTGAGAAAAATCTATTGAGAATATTTAGTCAACCTGACAAAAGCTACTCCTTTCTTTTGGTATTTCTTAAAGAGTGTTAAAAAAGGGGTCCATTGATTTGTTCAAAATTATGTGTACTTTTGAGATGCAGAGAAAGCTGTTTAAATTTATGGGCTGACTATTGTATTCTGTCTCATCTGTTGAGTGGTCAATTAGATCGCCCCGCCAGCCCCCTTCCCCCACAACCACTTTTAACCTGAAGGTCCTGGGTTTCGATCCCAAGTGGAGTGGGATTATGGATACGTATTGGTAAAGAATTCTAAAATCGTGCAAAACAACTGTCCAGTACTCTCCAACTGAGTGAAGTCAGTTTGTGATCAATTTTGAAACCAATCACATCCTTACAGTTAAATCAGCACTTGAAAATTGATCTAGTGCTCACTAGTAGTGGTGATTGACCAAGGAACGTGAAGCTGCCCTGGAGTTCTAGTGAGAGAAGTCATGGTCGCTGGGGTTCACCAGGTTGGTTGGGTGTGAATACAAATACTAGCCATGGGATGACGTTAGCCGGTAGTCGTACAGATGTTAGAATTCATGGGTTGTTAGATTCCCTCGCCTTGCAACAGGAAGGTCCTGATTTTTTTATCTATGCCACGAGTCAGATCATGAGTTGGTACTGTTGATGAGTCACTAACTGGGACGAAACGGTTGGTTTTCGGTGGTTCTTTTTTAACTGATATCAATCGGTGATCAAACTTGAAACATGTTAAATCCCAACAAACTTACTCGTGAACACTTGTCGATCAATGTGTTCACCGGCAGAGATTTTTTAGCCTGTATTTCATATTATCAGTTTGTTTGTTTTGGCTTAGGTCTTTCATGTACCACCGGGTTATGA